TACACCATTTTTACATAATTACAAGATTTTCCCGGGGACACTGTGAGGCAGGTAGAATTGATATGTTTTCTATTTTATAGGTTACGTTAGGTAATGGTTTTCAAATAGTGAGCAGCTAGTTTCAGATTATTTAATGTTTGAAAAGACAAACCAGGATTGGAAGCTAAAATACCTGAACCTGCATCCATCCTTTTTTACTCCCTAATCGTACTGCTTTTAGGCTTCAGCTAATAAAATGGATCTTAAGTGAATCAAATAATGTGGTAGAAACATAAGTAGTAAATTTCTGTCAATTTTAGCTCTTTCAGTTATTTATTTTAATTATTTTTTTCATTATTTAATGAAAATTTGCAGAGACTTTGGATTTCCATTCACTCATTGTTGCAAGATAAAAAGTACCTCTTGCCTGTGACTACTTCTGTAAATTAACTTTATACAGGATGTCTGTGCAAGGTTTTTTGTTTTTTTTTTCCAAGTTCTCTATAAACTTTTATTAAAATTTCAATTAAAAAAAGGGCACAGAATAACATTGGCCCACAGCCATCCTGCCTCTTCAGGCACTTCATTAGCTCAGACAACCCGAACTACAGTAGGCACCCACTGCCGCTGCTGCTGCCACCCCTCCTGGAATCCTGGCAGCTGGCTGGGCCATCCTCCAGTCCATGGGGCTCCAGGTTCCCGGCCCCACCCGCACTAAGTTGTGGTCCGTCTCTTCCTCAGCTGCAGGAAGCCACTTGAAGAAGGCTGTGAGAGATTTGAGGGTCACACCCTTGGCCTGCCATTCTGTAGGGTCCTTGCTGCTCTCTGAGCTATAGAAGGCATCCTCTTTTAGGGTTAGGGTCAGGGTCAGGGTCAGGGTTGTTAGGGTTAGGGTTGTTAGGGTTGTTAGGGTTAGGGTTGTCAGGGTTAGGGTTGTCAGGCTTAGGGGTTAGGGGTAGGGTTAGGGTTAGGGTAAACAAAAAAAAAAAAAGAAGGCGTCCTCTTTGACCACATGCTTATCAAAGAAGGTCTGAAGCAGGTTGGCAGGCTGTTCTAAGGTCACAATGAGGGTCTGGATGGCATAGAGTGCCTGGAGCTCCTTTTTTTCATCACAGGTATTTCTGTAGCAGTTTCGCTAGTGCTTTCAGCACTTCAACATCGACTAGGAGGGGATTCTCAAAGATAATTGTAGAATAGCAGTCGTTATGAGGAATCGAACTACTGTGTTGGAGGCTACCTTCTGCTCACTCAGATTAGCCTCGATCCACTGGCACACTAACTCATCACTGCTGTTCTCCTTCAGCAGTTTCTCCAGCTGCCTGTTCAGCACCCCTGAGGGGAGAGCCATTTGACTGGGGACCTCTGGACTCTTCTCCCAGGGTGTACTCCACCTTCTGTTTAGTGATGAATGCACTGACGTCCTGACTTTAAGGGAGAAATTCCTTCCAGTTGAGCCCAGTCTCTTGCCACAACATCCCCACCTTTTGGGGGCCTATGCTTATGCAAAGTTTTTTTGAGAGAGCTTCATCCAAATGTAGTGTACCAGTATATAACAACTCACCTGCCAAATCAACTAGTCCTGAAAATAGATGGTGCCAGCAGTCAGCATGCAGTTTTATCTGGTAAAGTGAATGATTAGAGGTCTTGAGGCCAAAATGATCTCAAACTTTGAAGGATAAGAAGCCTGGCTCGCTGGCGTGGAGTTACGCATGGTGAGCCACTTAGGTTTCCCTGACCTGCCTCAGGAGTCTTCTCACACAGCCTTCTTAGACTTCTGGCAGATGGTGGAGCTCAGGTGCTAGGTGTCATATGGAATCAGCATCAGTGTAAATGAGAAACAGATGAACAGTTGATGCCTCAACCTACTAATTACTGGCTTTTATGTATCATTTTTGCTGTTGGCTAATTGGGTGGTAAGTGAGCTAGATTACTAAATCTAATTGCTCCAAAAGAAAAATAGTGTCTAGATTATTTTTTAAATTTTCACCATATTTGTTATTCTAAATAAATGAGGTTTTATCTACTTTAAAAATGCACTAGACTGTTTTTTACCATTTGTTTTAATAATTGTTGATTTCTAAATATGTTCATCTTTAATATTTAGCTTTAAAGATAGTTGTCATTTACTACCATTGTTTTGCTTCTTTTAAAAAGAATGTATTTTAAAATTTAAACCCAGTGTATTTTAGAGCTAAATATTTGTGCTTTGATAAATGCGAAATAACATTGGAACCCACTGATTATAAAATCAAGTTTATGCTTCATCTTGCCTGTTAACATCATCTGGAGATAGTTTCCTGTTTTGCACTCTGATGACTTGTATCTTTCCATTAGAAATGTATTTATTTGAAAATATTTTTGTATTTACTATCTGTCATCTTTCTTTAGCCAGCCTTTTTTTTAACTGAAAGAGTTAAAGTGTCCTTAACGTTTAAAACACAAACAAAAAAACCCACAAAGAAATTTACTACTGAAAATGTTTTTTCATCAGAAAATTATTTCCTGATGAAAAATGAGTCCATTTCTGAGAAGTAGCAATGTCTTTTCTAGTTTTCTGTGCTTTATTTTTCTAATTTTCTTTTAATACAGATGTCGAAGATGAAGTGTAAAAATCAGCATTGCACTAATTTTTATCATTTTCTAGTATATGGCATTCTAAATCACATGTTCATGATACTTTATTAATGCATTGCTTTATTTTTGTTCTCACATATCTGTAATATTGAAAATATTAAATGATAATGAAAGACAATCTTGTTTGACTTAAATGATTCTATACATTTAAAAATCCTAAGTGATATGTTCTAAATATTAGTGCATAATATTCTGTGTTCATAATTGTTAAATCCTTGATTTATTAATGAAACTGTATTTTGTATCTTCTGTAATTAATTATATATTAAGTACCAAACTTCTGTTAATAGTTTTAACAGACTTTCAACTCTAATTTTAGGACTTGCCACTTTACTCTTTTAGACAATAAATAGAAAGCTAGTAAAGGAAAAAGAAACTACTGATGTCTTTAAGTGGAATATAATGTACCTAATCCCTGTGGATCTATAACTTGTATACAACCCCCCTCAGTGAATTAGGCAGCTTGAAATATTGAATACAAGTCCAGTTTCCTAAGTTCTTTACTTGACACCTTTATCATTGTGGGGATTGTAATCGTTTTTAACTATCTCTGTATCCCTAGTTATATTTTTCCTCTTGATAAGAATGTTTTATTATTATAACTAAATGCTTAATGGAAAAGTATTTTTAAAATGTTATGTGGTTTTAAAAATGTCTTGCATTCAGTAGAATATCTTAAAAAGGATCAAAGAGTAATTTTTATTGTGTACATAATATTAAGTAACCATAGTCTGATTTAAATTTTTTTAAATGAGGAAAATGATACTCCATTTCCCTCAACATTTTAATGTTTTGAATGACCCCTGTGGAAGTTGAAGTTCTCAAAATACTCAAACTTAACCCTAAGTGAAAAACTTATGTCACTCTATATAGTTTTCTAAATATTTTCCACTTTTATTTTTCTTCTTAAAAAGTAGTGTTTTATTTTTACTCTGTTTCTGAAGAATATCATAAGTCCTTAAGTGATAGTAGACAGATAACCCAATATTCAGATAAAGTTTTAACAGTTTGAGAGTTAAAAAAATGAGAAGCAGAATGATCAGAACACTTACATCAATCAGAACACTTTTTTCCTCACCACCTCCCTTCTCCCCCAAGTGTATGTAGGGCAGTAGTTTCTGGGACAGCCAGAGTTCTATGCCATGGTCACAGAGAACCCAGGTTCCTGTCAGGTGTGTTATAAGTATAAAAATGTTACAAAGAAGTTAATTCTCTCTACTTTCATTAGATGAAACCACAACCTTTTATTTACTGTTCTCTCTGGAATATGTTTTTGGAAGTGAATCGTTTTGGAGGGTGGGAGTGGCTACCAATGAGGTGATGTTGTTAGGTGCTCTTCAGTTGACCAAGACTCAAGACACAGATACAGCTGATTAAAATCATTGTTTTTAGTTAACTTTAAGTATCTGATCATTCTGTTGAGTTTTCGTAAGTTGACTGTTTTCTCGATTACAAAACGTACCATTTGAATATTCAAACATGTCCATTTTTTAATAAGTGGTCTTTTCTTCAGAATGCTTGCTTAAACATCAATAAAAACACCTGCAATGTGTGTTACATATTTAGTAATATAATGGGCTAATTGAGTTTATTAGTTCTGAAAATATGAAAATGACACAGTTTCTTACCAGATGAGTCTTACAGTGTAGCAGGGAAGGTAGAGAAAAAAAAAAAAAAATAAAGTGAGGAAAGCTTGGTTGGCTGAATTGGAAAAGTGTAAAATGTACCAGTATAACTTGAGATTGTTTTACATTCCTGTGGAGCATTGAGTGGAGGTAGTGTGCAGTAAGTAGAAATGGTTAGAGCTGGTGCCAGGGTAAGTAAAGTGGCTGTCCAAAGGTCATCTCTTGTGGCAGAGAAAGCTCTTAAATCCTTAAGCATTTGTAAGAAGAGAGACCAGGTGAAAAGTGGGAAATACAGTACAATCAGCCTGGCAGTGCTGACGCTTGATGATTTTCCTAAAGACTAATAGTGTGATGCTGGCACTTGACATTTTTAGCTGAGGCATTTAAATAATTTACACACGTCCATAATTTTAGGTGTGTTAGAATTGCTACATTTTTAGCTAATGATAAGTGAGCGAGCATTTTGGCAAAAAGCCAGTAAACTTCACACAGACCTGATATTCCCCTAGCAGTTAAGTCCTCTCTAGTTAGCTGTTTGCCTGACAGAACTCGCTCAGGTGTCCACTTTCTGAACAATAATACACTGATAGAAATTTAAAAGGAATTATTTTCAAGCAATGTAAAGATTTCTGTTCAGCTACAGTTAGATAATCATATATTTTAAACCCTCCTTAAGTGGTTCTTTGGTAGATGAGCAGAAATTTAAAGAGCTTTGTCAGGGCAATTATTAATACTTTATAAAAAATACTGCTACTACAATTGCAGGTCCTTTTGGAATAAATCATGGAATTGAGCTTCATTCAGATGTGGTGGAATATGCCAAGGAAAAGCTGGAGAGCTTCATCAAAAATAGTGATAGCTTTGATAAGTAAGTATTTGGATCTGTAGTTTTGTTTGAAAACACTTGATATATGTAATACCTGTTGGTTAACACTTTTAGTTTATTGCTAATTTATTAGTTTATTGACCCTGAATTGCTAATTGGGACACAGTAAAAAGTAATGTATAAAAATAAAAGGAAAAGCATTAAGACAGTGTTTCTTTGCTATAATTTTATTCTGTATAAATCAGTATAGTAAGTTATAAGTAAATGAAATAACTTACAATTTTGTGTTGATGTCACTTTGTTGATAGAGTAAGGTTAAATACTACATCCAGTATTTTTCTTTTTCCTTGTCAAGATAATTTGTAACGATTCTTGTGATTAGATTACTTTTCTGGAACTGGACTTTTAAAAAACATTACTTTGTAGTATATCCAAAGAGATTTTAACAGAGAACTACATTTATAAATCTTGTCATAGGATTGTGTCTGAGAACTCCTATCCCCTAGTAAAGTTATTGCACACGTCGGCCCTTAGGCTAGCATGGGAAAATCTGTTTGGTTAGTAAAATGTTAATAAAACTCGGTGTTAATAATAATATATGGAAGAGAGCTCTTTCAGCGAAGTCCATGAACCCAGTGAAATTATGTAAATTTGGAGGATTTTCAACACTCATTTTTCTGAATACTAACAGAAAGCCTTAAGGTTAGGAGGCACAGGTTTACAGCATAGTCACTTTATGTAACAAAAGGTTTGGTGCAACACACATTCAGACTTCGATTTTGACTTTGTGAGAGTGGGCTTTCAAGGTGAGATACTGGGGACAGTTGAGACCAGAGTTAGAATTTCTTCTTGAGAGATGAATATTAAGGACAGCACCAAGACAGAAAAGTCAAGACCTTTTAATATCTGTGAATGTGTATTTTCTTCCTCTCTTCCCCCTTTTCTTTTTGCCATTACCATACCTGTCTTTAAAGACTAGTTCAGGAGCAAAATACCACTGTGCTGGATGAGAAGAAAGGCAGCAAAGTCCTAAAAACTGTAGGTGAAAGGCAGGGTCTCCTGTCTACCTAGGTTAGGATTGTGTGCAGGCTAGATAAGAAAGAAAATGGCCATGTTTTATTTTTTACTGTAATTAATTCTGTAGATTTAAGTATATAATAATGCGAATCACTTGAATTTTTTGCATTGATTTGCTGAATTACACTTTCTTTAGGGGAAAAAAGTTAAATTCACATTTCATAGTATTTTCAAGTGCTTACTGTGTTGGTTCATACTCTATTTCTTAAGAAAAATATGTTTGATAAAGAGGAAATAGTTTTTTAGCCCAAATTACTTAAGAAATTTGAGATTAAATGTTGCACCACTTTGTGTCTTCTGTGTCTGTCTTGATTGGTAGTATGCTGAATCCTTAAGATAGAGATGTGACTGTTTCCTACATAGTTTACTATAAATACAGAGATTTGTTTAATTTATTGAATTACTATGTTTAGTACTTGTTTTGATTTTAAAATTTAATGTGTACATAGTCTTTAATACATAATTTAGAAAAGGAATTTTAAGGTTAATTCTAAGATTTGTATATTAACACATTTCATGTCATAAGTCCTTGAAAACAGAAAAACATGCCATTTGAGTCATTAACTTGAGAACAAAGTTAAGAATCTTGAATTAATGAAGTTCTTTCTCTGTGTCACTATGTAAAGCATTTTTGTGTTGATGTAATGCTTCTATGATAAAGTATTACATAGTCCATGAAATAGGTCTGTTTAAATACTGTTTCTAAAGTTTTAAAAATTTTCTTTGTTTACATGCAGTTGTAAAATGATCAGTTTCTTCTTTCTTGGTTTTCTTTTGTTTTACTGCTTTATGCAGATTTTGTTATTCATTAAATGATAAATCATAAAACACAATGTGATCTAAATATTTTTGTCTTGTTATTTTAATTCTAATAATTTAAGATACAGTTGTTTCAGAAGTTTATAGCATTTTTAAATATAGATTCTTACATTAATAACTTAGTATAAAAATTAGAACCTTCTGGAAATTTTATTACTCTATAGGGAGCTCTTGTGGCCTAGTGGTAAGCTGTGCTGCAATCCCAAAGGTATGTGGTTCGAATCTACCAGCTGCTCCATAGCAGAAGGATGGGCAATCTCCTCCTGTGATTTACTGCCTCTGCAAACCCACTGGAGGGTCAACTATGTGTCGGTTCTGACTCGACGACACACAACAACAATCTATCCAAGGTTTTTTTGAGTCTTCGTGTTATTGTGGTCAAAGTGTTCAGCTGTAAACCAATAGGATAATAGTTTAAACTTAACAGCCACCACACAGGAGAAAGAGGAAAGTCTGTTTCCTTAAAAATTCATGCTGTTGAAAACCTGATAGGTAGTTCTACTTTGTCCCACAAGTTCATGCTAGTTTGGCATGAGGACAGATGATAGTGAGTGTACTAGTGCTGGTCTCTGGTGGTTTAAAGCACTTGAACCACTCACCATAGATTGGCGTGCTCCTATAGAAGGATGTGGCAATCTGTGTACATAAAGATAGCCTTCATAACCCTGTAGGGCTTATTGTACTGTCAACATCACTAATAAGTTTGTAGCTTTGGGGAGAGGAAAGATGTTCTAGATTTCAAATGTCTCATTATTGTTGTGGTATTTTAGATTATAAAATAACTTTCTTACAAAAATAACAAATAATGGAGAAAAATAGGTAAGTTTTTTTGCAGAAAGTAGCAACAGTGAAAGTTTAGTAATCAGTTAATGATGAGTAGTTTTTTTGTTCTTTGCAGTCATTTGGTTTTGTGGCACAAATTGTAAAGATAAGGGTAACTTTACTACTTGATTTTTCAGAATATCTTTCTAGGTTTTCTTGATGCTTATCAATAATGTTTCTACTTATATTCAGTTTTTGAAGTGAACTAAGAACAAAAACCTAAGAAACAGCATGCAGAGTAATTTTTATTTACAAGTGATTTAATTATATTTAATTGTATGTCATACATTAAAATACTTAAATTATCAATGTGTAACTCGGGAAAATTAATTGCTGCTTGTATGTTGTTTAACATTTATTTACCTGTGATCATATATAACTTGGAAAGATTCAATAACTAAAATAGAAAAGATATATTTTAAATCTTATTCTGTTGCTTTGGATTTTTTTTTTTTTTAAAATCAGGCCATTTTTCTAAAGTATTTGAATGTCATTTATGATTTCAACTCTAGGTTGTTTTTTTTAATATGCATCTACTGTTGATCAGGGGAGCTCTGGTGGCCTAGTAACCAGAAGCTGCATTACATTCCTGAAGGCGTGAGGTTCGATGCCACCAGCTGCTTCATGGGAGAAGGATGGGCAATCTCCTCCCATGCGACTGACTGACTCTGAAAACCCTCCAGAGGGTCAGCTGTGGATTGGTTCCGACTCGGTGGTACACAACAACAACATTGAACATCATAGTGAATTCCCAAATAAGACCATTGTTAAGTGCCGTCGAGTTGTACATGACTCATTGACCCTATGAACAAAAGACCAGACTGACTTCCATTGTTTCTCCAAGTTCTTAGAGTTTCTGGGGGCAAGCTATTTTGGAAGTGGATGCCACTCCTGCTTTCAGGCCTTTTTTAATCTGGGAGCTCCACCAAACACTGTCCACCATAGGTAACCATTACTGCGTTTGACACATCAGTGTCACAGTGTTTAGCGTTACAGCAGCCACGAGTTAACCTCTGTATAGCAAATGGACAAACCAGTGCTATACCACTTAGAAGAATGTTTGACCTAAACCAAAACCAGGCCTGAGGGCCACAGAATAAAATCACCCACCTTTCATTTGGTAGCATCACTTTCTATCCACTAGGCCAACAGAGCTCTCTCCATCGTTAAGTTCTGTCAAGTTGTAGAAGATTCATAGTGACCCTATGAACGAAAGACCTGAATACTTGTCTGACTTTCATCGTTTCTCCCAAGTTCATAGAGTTTCCGGAGAGGCTGGGGAAAAGATCAGTAATCAGTGTCTGAATATATGCTATAAAATAACCTAAAAAAATTACAAGTCCATGGCATTTTGTGTGTATAAAACAGGATGGATAGAAAACCAGAATCTAGAAAGAAGTGTTTGTCTTAAATAAAAATGTATTCTAATTGTATATATTTTTCACAATGTTACTGAAAGGCAATGATTTGAAGCAGCTACTCTGAATTGAAGGAAATAGTTTACTTTGCTTCATTGCTTTGATACCTAAGATATTTTCAAATTTACTTAAATTGCCTCTTAACATTGATAACTGATTTCAATGATCCTCCATTAAAAGCCATGTAATTTGTAAAAAAAGAAGTAAAGTAGTAAATTAAGTTTATAGGTTAAAACTCTCTGTCACAGATACTCAGCTGTACTCTCATTATGTAAAATCAACCCCAGATAATACAGAAATGAGTGGGTTATAGTATGTTTCATGCAGTTTTATTTACAAAGCCACTGTCAGGCTGGCTTTGGCCCATGACCCATAGTTTGCTGATCATTGTTCTAGTATAGACTCTCAAAAATAGAACATTTTGATTGAGACAGGAAGTTGGAAATGGTCAGATTATATGAAATAATATTTGTGTATGCAGTAAGCAAAATAATCTTTCTAAGCAGTTAAAGGAGGCTGTATTAAAAGCTTTTATCCTGTAAAAGCTTAAAATAGTGTAACATTTATTTATAGCTTATTATTTAATGTGTATATGTACATACAGGGAGCTCTTACGGTCTAGTGGTGGGAAGCTGCACTGCGTGTGGTTCAAGTCCACCAATAGCTTCGCAGAAGAAAGATAAGCAGTCTTCTCCCATGTGATTTACTGCCTCTGAAAACCTGCTGGTGGGTCAGCTATGTTTCCATTTAACGACAACACAAAACGACAGTCTATATAGTTGATTTGGCCTGCTAGAATGCATGCTTTGTGGAGTGCATAATTTTCTGGAAAAGCATTCCTACATATAGCTGAGATTTTGGAAATAACATATTAGCCTAAAGGAGTCAATGATTTACAACAACAGCAACAACTAATAGCCTAATGAGTGCTGTGTGGGCTGATGTACTAGGGATTTTCTTCATAAATCGAAGAACATTGTCTAGTCAGTCTGTCATAAATGGATGGGTCATTTTATGACTGAGGAAAACAGTAATAAAAGGATAAAAAACCCCAGCCAATATGTATGATCTATGCAGGGAGTACCATAGACCATTCCGTGTACTTTATCTATAGCCCTGGAAGTGATACTCATGTCTTCATTTCCCAGTGTGAAAACTAAGGATTAGAGAGATGGTAAACTGAGCTGGTCAGTCTTTTTACTTAGATCTGATTTGACTATGAAGATGTAAGCATTAATTTATTATTCACACATAAGTAAGTTGCTGCTTGTGTATTTCATCCTACTTAGCTCTAGAATTTGAAAGTTAGAGTAGCACTTGTATTTTTAATTATTTCCTTTTAATTTCTTGAGTGCTGTTTAGATGTTTTAAGTACACGAAAAAGTGTCCCCTTTCCCATGAATTATTACTATAGGCAAAGGTGAATGAAAAGGAGAGTGCATTCCTCTGAGTTGAAGATTGATTCCTTTGAGTTTTAATTAAGAATTTAAACAGGTTTTTAAAAAATTAGAAATTATTTTTAGAAGACTATTGATTTATGGCGATGTCTTATTTCCTAGTTTTTTTTGAAAAACAATCTGGTTCATTTTCCACATAAAATTTTTTTCCACTGGAACAATTAAATGACATCTTTATAACTAATCTTGCTGCAACTTTAAAATAATTATGGCGTACTTCTTGTGAATAATAGTTTTGTGATACGTAGTTCATTATAATCAGCATTATTGTGAAGAACTTGTCACATATTTGACTTATGTACTGATATTTTCAGAAGGTAATTTTATAGCAGTTTTCACAGATTGTATTTTTTACTTATCACTAATACTCAAATACTGAGACAGAAATTATCAGAAATGACCATGAAAAAATGTGATGGTTTAAGACAGTTTTAGGAAAGTAATACTTAGGTGCACAAGGACTCATTTTTATAAGACTGACCACATTTCCTCATTTCTTACGAAAATGTTTTTTTAATTTTTGGGAGCAAGGAGAAGAGGAATACTAAGGATTTCTTTTAAAAGTAATTCAGTGAAAACTGCGTATTTACTCATAACATTTATCTTTGAATATTACTTTAATTATTTATTTCAGGATGAGTTTTGATGCAGTTGTAATGGAAAACACCTGAAAAGATTGTCTTTATCTATTTCATTCAATAACATTATTAACATGATTATGAAGCTTGAAAGTTTTAAGTACGTTTGGTGATCAATAGACTTCCAACTCATTTCCCTTAATTTTCTTTACAAAGGAAAGTTCTAAAGTTTTGTCTTATTTTAAAAAGTTTGTAGTTCTTGAAATTGCCAATGTATCTTTTGACAAAATGCGTTAAGGAAAAGAAGTTACTGTGATTCATTTGGCAGGTTGTTTTGGATGAGGTCTGAGAATCAGGTGGGTTTCCTGTCCATGTCCTTGAAATTCCAATGACAACATCCTGTTGCACATGATAAACTAGGTGTGCAAATTATCAGCACCCCCTACTTCCACAGTGTATTGAAGGGGAATGTTGTTTTTTCTACTCTCAGTCAGCTCCTAGACCTAGACTATCCGTCTAAGAGGGAAGCTGCAGGGCAAGGCTAGGTCACCCAGATCTCCTAGCAGCTTATCAAAAGAATTATATGGGCAAGTTGGCAAGGTCCCTGCTGTGAACGAAGGCATCTGTACAACTGAAGATGAAGATACTTCAACATGCACTTTTAAAGAAACCCACCGTTAAGGTAAGTAATTAGTATACTGGTGTTATATTGGGCAAGGGTTTATGGTTCTATACCAAGTGGTGTTGGGTGTGTGTGTGTGTGAGAGAGAGAGAGAGATTTTCCTGTAAATGATTTCCAGTATATATTTTAGTAAAAATACATAAGATTCTCCCCCACCCCATTGTTCAGGCTTAAATCAGTAAAAGTTTAGGAATCGGAAGATTGAATTCCATCCTTATTAACAGATTTTTAAGACTTTTTATTTTTATTTTTGTTCTCTATGTAAATATATTGCAATTTAACAGTATCAGTGATCTCTATCTGAGAAGTTGTGTTATAGACATTTTCGTCAAGGTGTAAAAATGATTACTTTTTGTGGACAAATTTTTCATGAACTTCCTTAAATAAAATACGATTTTTAAAAATTGACAAAAACTGCAACAGAACACCCTATGAAAAGAATATGATTCAGATTTTCACAAGTAGAAATAAAACTACCCATGAACTATTGAGGACTGCTTGCCAATGTTTTTTTCTCAGATTTAGTTTTAGTGGGTGGTTGATGTGAAGAAGCAGAGCTCAGTTTTTCACTTTTTAATCTTGGTTTTATATGTATAAATTTTAATGTCATCCTGTTTTATAGTAAGCATAGAACTTCATATAAGCTGATTTCTGCAGTCTTCCAGATTGCACAGATACTGCATAAGTGATTTAAATATGCTTGTGAAAACTTAGCATAAGCATAATACAATTACAACCTAAAAGTGAAAGAAACTCTTTTCTTTAACTTTTCTATCCTGAAGGAATTAAGAGAAGTTGTAGTTTATTTTGCTAGCTGCCTTTTCTTTGTGGGATCAATCCGTTATTTTTATATATTGTTAAGCACATTTATGAACATTTATCAAACGAATTTTAATCATAGACATTTTAAAAAATAGTGGCATTTTGATCATTCTGTATCTTGATTATGAATTATATATATCAAATGATAAATTATGACACAACTTTAGTATTAGAATTCAAACTGTATAATTAAGATTTTCAATTATATATCTCATCAGAAATATGTAGTTCTTATTTTACTAGGAGAGATAATCCATATAAATTTAATAATAATGGCATAAGAATATGAATAATAGAATAATGTATGTATGTGATGAGTTCATGTAGTTTTGGTGAAAAATGCCAAAATACAAAAGTGTAATTTCCAGAGGGCACACTATTTCTGGTATACATGTTTTCTATAACTAGAAAAATGGCACTATTATAAGTTTATTGTAAGGTGCTTGAAAATAATTTCTCCGTCATATTCTAAATATTTTAGAGGCAACATTGAAAAGGTTTTTTTTCTCTCATTTTTATTTGTGTCCTTGAATTTTTGCGGTTTTAATAATTTAAGAGTCCAATCCTTCTGGAATATTGTCTTTTACATTCAGCTAATCTATTAATTTTTAAGATTTCAGTATTTAAATATATAGTAGTCTATAGATTTCATGTATTTATGAGTGTCTCATGTGCTGTCAAGTCAAAACCAATTGATGGTTGACTCTTTGTATCCTTCAGTGCATTTCCAGAGGCAATAATTTTGCATTGGAAGACATTCTTTGACTTTATTCTGCAGAGCAGCTGGTGGGTTCAGATCACTTGCTTTTAAGTTTGCAATGCACTCTAGGCCACTGGAGTTCCCCTCCCTTTTGCAAGAGTAAAAATTTTAATTTACAGATTTTTCTCTACAGCTATCCTTTGCAACATTACATAAGTTATAGTAGATACTCTTGTTCTGTTTCTCATCAGAAAGATAATCTTTGAAGAGGTTTTCTCAGCTACTTCCTAATAGTCAAATAAAACTTTAAGAGGGAAACATGCTTTTTAATTATAGAACTAGCTAATTTATTCTTTAAAAGGAGTGAGTTGCATTTGGTTTTTGGCATGCTAGGAGGAGAAAAAAATTATTTTGTAACTTGAAGTAAAATTAAGATATTAACAGTAACCAGTTTGATAAAATATTGACCTTCATAATTATACAGAAAATGCTTTGTTATTAAGTATCATCAATTTTCTTCTGACTCCCAGCAACTATGTGTACAAAAGAATGAAGCACTGCCCAATTCTACAACATCTTCACAGTTGTTGTGAAGCTCTGAGACCATTGTTAAGTCATTGTTATTGTTTATCTCCTAGAATGTTTGCTTTGTTTTCACTGACTTTTACCAGACATGATGCCATTCTCTAGGGACGGTCTGTCCTGTTAACTTGCCAAATTATGTAAGAGGATGTCTCACCATTCTTACAACAAAGGATCTAAATTTCTAGTTTCCTTTACTGCAAGATAGTTTTCTTCTGGCCATCCATTGTATGTTCATTTGCCTTTGCCAACCTTATAATTAAAATACATCAACTCTTCTTTGCTGTTTTTTCTCTGTTGTTCAGCTTTTACATGTATATCAGGTAATTGAAAATATCAAGGCAAACCTAAGTTCTCAAGTGATGTCTTGCTTCCTAACACTTTAAAGAGGTCTTTTGTAGTCCATTTTTACCGGAGCAGTAGGTAATTTGATTTCTTGACTGTCTTCTATGGCTGTTGATAGTGAATCCAAGTATAATTAAATTCTTGACCACTTCAGGCTTTTCTCTATTATAATGTTGCTTATTGTAAGGAATTTTTGTTTTCTTTATATTGATGTACAAACCATACTGAAGGTTATGGTCTTTGGTCTTCCCCATTAAGTGCTTAAAATTATCACTTTCAGCAGGCAAGGCTGTATCATCTGTATATTGTGTGTTGTTAAATATGTCTTTGTACAATCCTGATAATAATTTATTGTCCGACTTGTTGGATTATTTCATCAATATACATGATATTTCTTTATGAAAGACTATAACCTCTGTACACATCTTTCCTGATTCTGAAACTTGCAGTATCCTCTTGTTCTGTTTGAACATGTGCTTCTTGGTTCATTTGCCATACAGGGACAATTACATGTTCTGGAATTCTCATTCTTTCAGATGTTCATATATTGATAAGGATGTTTTATATAGTCAATAAAATGTATTACTTACATCCTCTGCTTTCAACCAAGAATCATCTGCTATCAGTGATGATATCCCTTATTTTAAACCCTTACACTTGATTAATTTGTTGAAACATCTTGAATAATATTTCATTATTGCCTGTAGGCTTGTGTCCCAGCCCCCAGTATTTTCAGTTGAGTTTCGAGTTCTTCTTTGAGTACTATTGATTTTTGATCATATACTACATCCTGAGATGACTGCATGTTTACTAATTCTCTATTGTGCAGTGATTGTGTAGAGAATGCTGTAGGCATGCACTATTTCTGGGAAGATTTTCCTTTTAGTCCTGAGACTTAGTGATTACCATATTTGCCAGATTTGTATTTATTCTCAAAATTGGTTCATCCTCAAAAGTATAAGGTTTCTTACTTAGTAAATATATTTTGAAAACCATAATAAGTAAAGAAAGTGAGAATTAAAATTTAGAGGAGGCTTTAAAAATAACAGGAAAGTCAAGAAGATGCTTTTTATAAATTGTTTCTCTTATGGAGAATCTGTAGCTCCCGTTTATTTCATAAATTGGATAGTTTATGTGGCTGTTGAAACAAAAATTACATTTTTATATTAAAAATTTTTAATATATTTCCATTAACAAATCTTTGTAATCTCAGGTGAAATTTTTATTTGTTTCATATCTCAGTTTGATACATTTTAAGTACCCAGTATCCATGTATGACTAATGTCAATTATATTGTGTAGTGACAGCTTTTAAATCAGTTTCTCACTTTCAAAGTCTGTCTTTCTTTTTTAATGCTCACTCTTTCAGGATTATATTCCTTTAAACGCTTAGTTGTAAATGACACTTCAGTTTGTGCAGTTGTTTAACTGGGGTTTTTTTTGGGGGGGGCTTTTTGTTTGTTTGTTTTGGGTATGTTTGGTGTTTTTTGTTTGTTTGTGTTTGGGTTTTTTGTTTGGTTGGTTGGTTTTTTGTGGGTTTTTTTGTTGTTGGGTTTTTTTTTGTTTGTTTGTTTTGCAGGCTCCATAAGTACATGCTACTGTGTTCTCAGTACTGGTGCATAGCCTCGCTCAATTAATACTTTTGACTGAGTAAAACTACTCATTACTGGCACAAGTTAGGTTGGCTAGTCACACAGTTGAATTTAGAATTGGGCAATAAATTTTTTCATTTGCTTGAATGTGTAGGGTATAACTAATAGGAGAAACAGTTAATTTCCATCAAGTCAGTTCTGACTCTGGAGGACTTCCATCAGATTTCTGAAACTGTAAATCTTTAAACAACATTTTCATATTTCTTCCTTGGATTTGAAGAAGGGTTCAAACTGTCTCAATCTTTCAGTTATCAATCTACCCTATACCCCCTGGTGCCATCAGGTTTCCTTAATATGAAAAGTGTAAGTTTAAATTTGCAGGTTGTTTCTATGTAATGGTATTTTCCTAGATAATACTTACGTAAGTTTTGTATTCCTATCAGGAAACTTTTAAGCTGTAAAGAATACTTTTGAGTTGATTCAACAAATTTAATGATAAGAGTCAGATCCCTGGTGATTGAGCCACTAAGCACTCATCTGATAAAAGTTAGTAGTTTATTCCCACCTAGCATGTTCTTAGGAAAAGACTTGATGAACCGCTCTTGTGAAATTTTAACCTAGACAACTTTATAGGGCAGTTCTATGCTTTTATTTTTGGGGAGAGTATATCTCGAGTCAAATTTGACTTGATGGTCCCCTACAAGAGGAAAGAAATTTCATAATTCAGAATTCTGTGATTGTTTTAACATCCTTTTCATTCATCCTGAAAATTAGAACAGTGACTTCAAGTATCATATTTAAATGGAATTTTATGATAAAGATTTTTTTAGAGAGATCTTACAGAAAGTAGTTAAGTTTTCCTTTTTAAGGGATACTCATTCATGAATTTGATAAAAATGATTTAACTTGATGCTGTAAAACACATTTATTTTGGCCTTATTTTAGACAATTGGAGATAGTGCCATACTTTCAATTGAACATAAATGAGAAAGAATAATCCCTAATGTCTAATAAAAGTTTTTTGTGTGCTACAGCACAGGGAAAAGAAAGAAGTATTGGGGGAAAAAAATTCACAGAAGCTAATATTTGTAACTTAAAGAATAGTAGACATTGATCAAGAGTAAAAATTCGAAAATATTTTAGAAAGAGAATATTTTAAAAAGAGAGTTTCAGAACAGTTTAAGATAATGTTTCAGAAGAGTTTAAGATAATGCCTGTAAGAAATCAAGTACTTTCCCCTGGCTGTTTGTTGAATAGGATCATGGGTCAGAAAATCAATGAGTCTGGAAAGGCAACTTAATGTGGAACACCAGTGAGTTCACTTGACACAGCAAGAGGCTTGACTGTACCTCTGTAGTAGGGAGCATATGCATGGACAAGGCTTAAAAAATGTGAATAGTGAGGAGTGGTTAGTAAAAGAAATAATGAACCATGAGCTACTTTAAGTGCAGGGATATTGAAACACTGCTAAATCCATTTCTGTTTCACTGCTGAAATGAAAGAGTTAAGGAAAGGGCAGTAATTCTGGTAACTTTAGTCAGTGTTCCCAATATGTTTGTGTTTTCATTGATTTTTAATAGAAATATAATGTGCCTGCTTTTAATTACTAAGGAACAGAGTATATTTTATGAAATAAAAATTATTGTGATTAATAAATATTTAATATTTAATAAATATTATTTGAATAAATGTTCTTTTTCACTGCATGCTAAAGCTTGTAATGTGTTTTATTTAATTTTCAACTGATAGCTTGATTTTGCTGTTATCTTTAATCCAATTAAAAGGATATTAAACTAATTTAGAGATTATATATTTTATTATTATCTTGGTGTTTTAATCATGTTACATATTAGATGTTACTTTCCGTTTTATTAAAATTTTTATAAAATAGAAACCTAAATAATTTTTAAAGTTTAACATATATGAACCAACACTGTAACCAGAAAGGAGTAGCCTAGCTGAAATACCTTCTCCTTAAAGCATGTCTCTTGTTTCTCAGATGAGATCATAAAGGCCAAACCAGCAATACCAAAAGACACCATTCAGGTTTGGCTCATTCCTGCACATTCTTCAGCCAGAATTTATTAGGAAAATAGTCCTAATTTTAGTGGTTGCAAGAGAATATAATATAGGTCGGGCTGCTGGTGTCCTCTGAACAAATTTCTGTATGTTAACCTTGGCAACAGTGTCACACTCAGATGAATAGTGCACAAGCTCTGGCCTTTCCACTGGCTTCACACTTTTTTGGAAAGGACAGTGTGAAGTGATACTTTTTGTCATTTGTTTGACCCTTGCACTTCTCATTAGTATTAGAAATCATTTGTAGGAGACACCTTAATGTTGATAGTGTAATGAGCTTTTCACTATGTTCTTTTTTTTAAAGCATATGTTAGGCTGCACTAAGGAGATAATGATTTAATGCTTTAAAAAGATGATAATAAAAACATACATTGAACCAGTATTAAATTTTGAGTTTTAAAACAATATCCTTAAAATTTATTTTAGTAGCTTCACTATTTAAGAACTGGTTCATACTGATATTTGGATATAATATTTTGTTTAAATTTAAAAACGTACTTTGTTTTTCCATGCAGATTTGAGTTTTGTGAACCTGCATTTGTGGTTGGCAATTGCCTCCAGATAGCATCTGACAGCCATCAATATGATCGAATTTATTGTGGAGCTGGTGTTCAGAAAGACCATGAAAACTACATGAAAATATTACTAAAAGTTGGAGGCATTCTAGTAATGCCTATAGAGGATCAGGTAATTTTCACAGTCCTGTTGCTTAGGAAGCAAACTTGTAGTCTTTTCTGTGCTAACTTTGTTTCATTTATTGAAAATACTTTTAGGTATCATGCCTTATACTTAAGAGCAAAATGAAGTTTGAATGAAGGAGACAGATATTTATCATATAGTCGTGTTAATGTTTGTGAATTGTTACTGTAGATACTCCTTACACATATGCACACACAAGTGAACGCTCACACTGTCTCTCCCCCACCCCACCCCAACTGAGCACCAAATAGCCTGGGTTAAGAAAGTATGTCTGAGGATGTACTCCCAGGATGATTCTGGGCAGGATGTAAGGAGATGGTGGGACAGGAAAGAGCCCAGAATCCGTAGCCCATGTAATTTAGAATAATTACAAAGATAACTAAAAGCTTCTTTTTATTACTTCCTTATTATTTTGTTAGGAGGAAAGGCAGCAGAAAGTTTGGAATCTAGCAGTGTTTCAGGGGATGAGAACACAGCTTAGGATTTGTCAGTGAAAATTATACAGCACTGGGTATATGTTAGAAACTTAAGTTCTGGGGAGCTCTGGTGGCCTAGTGGCAAGAAGCTGTACTGCAATCCCAAAGGTACATGGTTCAAATCCACCAGATGCTCTGCGGGAGAAGGAGGGACAATTTCCTCCTGTACCAGTCAGATCTGATTTGACAGTACATGCACAAAAAGTAATAAAATAAAAAACAACCAAAAAACTTAAGTACTTTTTCTTTTAGAATTTGTAAAAGATATTTGGTGACATACTAGTATTTTGCTTGATAAAAAAAGATGCTTAGGGTTCTTTTGTGTGTGGATACAAATGAAATTGAAGCAGCGCGGGGGAAAAATCAAATGATGTACTTCCCTGGGCAAATCTGCAGCAAATCTTCATTTAAAGGACTTCTTTAAATTGCTCAAGCTCAGTGATGCCGCTCTGAGCACTAAGGTATGGCCAGCCTAAGCCAAAATATTTTCATTCTTGTCATATACATGTGAAAGAACTATGGTAGCAGTGTAAAAAAAGTCAGAAATTTGAATCTGCCAACTTCTCTATAGGAAATGATGGACCGTCTCCTCCTGTAAAGATTTACAGTCCTAGAAACTTAATAGAAGGTTGGAATCAGCATGTTTATGTCATTATGTTGTATGTTACGTTTTCTTACACATGTGAAAGGTGGGCAGTGAAAAAGAAAAACCACAGAATTGATCTTTTTGAATTGTGATGTGACAAATATACTAAATTGACCGTTTAGTATATGCCAAAAGAACAAACAGTTGTATCCTAGAAGACGTGTAGCCAGAATATTGCTTCAACGTGAGGATAGCTAGACTGCATTTTATGTACTATGGGCATGCTACCATGTTGAGAAAGACAAGATGATTGGTAAAGTATAGAGGATCAGTGAACCAAAGAGGCAATCTGACTACAGCTGTAGGCTTAAGCCTAGAAGAGATAGGAGGAGTGAACAAGATTGGGCAGGCCTTTCCTGTATTATTAATGGTCAGTACTGCACTTGACAACAGCAACTATCAGGTTCTGTTTTCCTAAGGCGAATTACTGTTGTAATCTTAAAAACAGTTGCTTTTTAAAATTTTTTTTTAGTTTTATCCTCCTGGGTTCCTCAATCCTTTCTCCATCATAGCCCCTACACCAAATATTTAATTACTTGACTATTTAAGGACTATTTTTAATCTAAATTTATTAATTAAATATTAACTTGGATATAATTCTGTGTTCTGTATTATATAGTTATAATAAATTTATACATTTAAAATTATAAATCTATTCATATATATTTAAGTACAATTGCATTTTAATATTTACTTAGTAATGATTAATAATTTGTAATGATAAGAATTTTCGTAACTCTTTGAAGTTACAATACCGTAATTATTACTTGGGTTGTGTTGTTTTTTTTTATCCTTTTTTAGCTTTACTTAAGATGGGAAGAATGCTCTGCTAACAAAATTTACATGGTGGTGGTGGTGGTGGTGTTATTATTGTTACATGCTGTCAAGTTGCCTCCGCTCATAGCTATGCTGTGTACAACAGCTCTAATCTCTGCCCTGTCCTGAGCCAATCTTAGCGTCTCTGACAAAACCAATCCAACATCTCCAGTTACTGAGTCAATCCAGCTCATCCTGGGTCTTCCTTTCCTGCACTGTCCCTCCACCCTTCCAACCATGATGTTCTTTTTGGAGAATGGGTCTCTCCTGGCCATGTTCCCAAAGTATGGGAGACAAATTTTCAAAATTTCTGCCTCCAGAGAGCAGGTTGGTTTCGCCTTCTCTTGGACTGACCTCTTTGTTCTCCTGGCAGTCCATGGTATGTACAACTCAAAGGCATTGATCCTTCTATCATCCTTAGTAATTGTCCAGCTCTCTGATGCATAGCAAGTAATTGCAAAGACCATAATATGTATCAAGCAGACCTTACTCTTCAAAATTACAACAATGCTCTTTTGTAGTCTAGGGAGGTCCCTGAAAGCAGACTTTCCAAATGCAATTCATCTTTTGATTTTTCTGACTGCTAGTGCCAAGAGTGTTGGTTATCATTAAACAAGCTGAAATTGTTAACAATCTCAATCTATTCTTTATCATAAAGCTGCCAGTTGGCCCTGTAATGAAAATGTTTGTTTTCTTAATGTTAAGTTTCAGTCCACATTGAAGACTACAGTCCTTGACCTGCTGCAGCATACGCCTCATGTCCTCTTCATTTTCAGCAAGCCATTGTTGTGTCATCTGCATAATGCAGATTAATAAGTTTCCCTCCAGTACTGATATCACATTCCTCTTCATAAAATCCAGCCTCCAAATGATCTGTTCTGTATATAGATTGAAAAGGTATGGAGGTAGGATGCATCCCTGGTGTATATACCTTTCCTTATCCTGAACTGTACAGTGTTTCCCTGCTCTGTTCTGACTGCTGCTTCCTGGTCCAACTTTAGGTTTCACAGGAGCACAATTAAGTGTTCTGGAATTTCTTCTTAAAGTTAGTCACAATTTTTTGTGATCCAGAGTCAGATGCCTTTTGCATAGTCAGTGAAAAACAGACATTCTTCTGGTACTCTCTTTCAGTTAAGATCTATCTAATATTGTCTGTGATGTCTCTAGTTCCACAGCCTCTTCTACACCACCTTGCACATCTAGCATTTCTCTGCTGATGTACTGTTTCAGTCATTTTTTGATAATCTTCAACAGGATCATGGTTGCGTGTGGTATTAGTGATACTGTTTAATAATTTCCATGCTCTGTCAGGTCATTGGCTCCACAGTCAAGAATCTTGGCACCAGCAGCCAGGAAATTAAAAGGCGCATTGCCATGGGAAAGTCTGCTGTTAGGGACCTCTCCAAAGTACTGAAGAGCAATGGTGT